CATGCCCAGCAGAGTGTTCTCACTGCAACAAAACGGAATCCAAGGAAGCAGCAGTGCTAAGAACGACGGTGGTCCACGACGACTGGGCGCCTACCAAGATCAGGGAAGAACAAGAGAGAGATCCAGTTATACAGAAAATCCGAAAATGGAAAGAAGAAAACCGTCGACCACCTTGGCAAGAAATATCGAACCTAGGCTCAATAGTTAAGACGTATTGGGCCCAGTGGGACTCATTTATCATGGAAGATGGCTTGCTCAAACGAGTCCTGGAAAATGATGACGGTTCAGAGAAGAGAAGACAGTTGGTGATTCCAAAGAGCAGAATAGCCGAAGTACTTCGTCAGTTACACGACAGTCCATCAGGAGGGCATTTTGGTGTGAAAAAGACCCTTCAGCGAATTCGGGAACGGTTTTATTGGATGAACAGTTCCGACGATGTAAAAGACTGGTGTAAGAAATGTACTATTTGTGCTACGAGTAACGGGCCTTATCGAAAAAGGAGAGCTCCTATGAGACAATATAATGTTGGAAGCCCGTTTGAAAGAATAGCTTTGGACATTGCTGGGCCATTTCCAGAAAGTGATAATGGAGGCAAGTACATGTTGGTAGTAATGGATTACTTCACTAAGTGGGTCGAGATTTACGCACTTCCAGACCAGAAGGCCGCCACCGTTGCAGATAAGTTGATCCAAGAATATATCAGCCGATTTGGAGTGCCTTTGGAGATCCATAGTGACCAAGGCAGGAACTTCGAAAGCGATTTATTCCAAGGAATATGTGATAGACTAGGTATGAAGAAAACAAGAACTACGGCTTATCATCCGCAATCGGATGGTATGGTAGAACGAATGAATAGAACAGTTGGCAAGTATTTGACAAAGATGGTATCCGATCATCAGCGAGACTGGGACCAATATCTTCCGTTCTTCACAATGGCCTACAGATCTGCTGTTAATGAATCAACAGGCCAGACACCAGCCAGAGTCCTATTCGGACGCGAGATGCGACTACCTTGTGATCTAGAGTTTGGGTGTCGACCTGGAGAAGATGTAGCAGGTGAAGATTATGTGATCGAATTACGAAGAAGAATGGACGATGTACACGAGTTGGTCCGTTCCCATCTCCAAATCGCTAGTGACCGAATGAAGAAACGGTACGATACACAAGCCGAAAAGGGGTGTTTTAAGAAGAACGATAAAGTCTGGCTTTATAACCCCAAAAAGCGAAAAGGTTGTTCTCCCAAATTGCAGCAGTTTTGGGAAGGTCCATACCTCATTATGGAGAAGATCAATGATGTTATTTACCGAATAAGCAAGATTCCGAGAGGAAAGCCGATGATAGTACACCATAACCGGTTGGCGTCTTTCGAGGGTGACCACGACGTAGATGAAGAAGTGGAAGTAAACCAAGTCCAAGATGTGTCTGACCTCACGTTTGAGGAATTCATGGGTGCCTATGGAGGTACCGGTAAAGCAAGACATGGTGTTACCACTGAAGAAAGGCAAGATCTACTCGCGCTTCCCGATGACTACTCACTGGCCCTTACCATCCCGGCCAGTATCAAAGATGCACCAGGGTTGGCATCCGTCTTTCGAAGGAAGTTTGGTCGAGTTGCAGAACTTCAATGCCAAGTGCCAGCTCCTGGTAAAACCTTGAAACTTCAAGATGCATCACGTTACCTTTTCTACCTGGTAACAAAAGACACTGCCCGTGACCAACCTACCTACCGAGATGTATGGGAAGCCTTACTTCAGTTGAGAGAGCACGTACTAGAGTCCGACGTGCAAAAGTTAGCCATGCCAAAGTTGGAGTGCCGCCAATTAGATTGGAGGGTTATACGAAACATGGTGGAGGAAATCTTTAAAGACACCGAAGTCCAGGTGTTAGTCTGTTGCAATCCGCATAGTTACTGCTGCGGAGAGAAAACCGTCCCTTGTCATTTCTATACAACTGGAAGTTGTAAAAGAGGGTCCAGTTGCCGATATCAGCATGTCGTTCAAGTCCAGTCCGACAAGGTTCCAGGAGGAACCATCTTTTAAGAGGGGGGCAATGTTACGATTTTAAATGTTATGGCATATAGAACTGTAAATATTTTATGACTAATTCTTTTTTATTGATTCTCGTAATTTGTAGGTCAAAATATACCTGAGCTTCGCTACCAGTTGTTTACAGAAATCTCTAGACACTAATTTTAGTGAGTCATCCACGTCTCGAGGTTGAAAAACGAGTCGAGCGCCTTCACCAAAATACGAGATTATTCAGGAAGTTTTCCGAAAGTTCCAGATGACAACAGTTGTGTATATAAATGAAAGATTTTTGTATTTGAGGCAGTGATAAGAAGATCGGTAAACGCGATATTTAAATGTAACGAAACGTGAAATAAATACATTTGTAAAGTTATTTAATAAATTAGTAATTAGCTATCGTGAGTTTTAATAAATTAGAATATAGACAATAAATTAGAATAAAGACAAATAAATTAGAACTAAATAAACTCCACACTATAAAATTTATCAAATTTTTCGAAACTTACAACCCTTCGAAACGAAGGTACTTTCGAAAGATCGACATAGGAAAGTGGAGAGGATAACTGTTTCAACTCCGTTTTTTTTTCGAGATCGGAAACATGTAGGAAAAATTTAAATTATCTCGGCTTCCATTGCAGCTAGAAGCCTCTTTTTCTTAATCTGGGGTAGCTCGTCGAAATGTGAATTACTACTGTACAAATTTACCATAAATTTGTACATTGTAAAAATCTTAGATTTTCATAACAAAACTCCCCTTATATCTAAACTTGGACTAGTCCCAAAAACCAGTCCATTTTTCGGTCCTGAACTGTTAGCAAGACCAACGAGTTTCTAAAAACCATATAGTCGCCAAGCAACCGTCTTAAGAAAAGGTCGAACAAGCAAGCGTGCGACCCGTCAAATTCATTTCTTCATTTATTCATTATTTCCTTATTTTCCAATTATCTAGTTTTTGTGGCCAGTATTGTTGGCAGTGAGTGCATGGTAACGAGTTAGATGCTGTGCCTTATTGTAAGTAGAAAACTTATATTTAATCTCAACTTTGCAATTGCTCCAAGTCGCGGTGTTGCCATATCGTGCCGCGAGTACATAAACGATTTGTGATCCAACAATTTTAACATTTTAACAACGATTTTAATTTACATGTTATACAAGTTAAATCTTTACTTTTGATCCATAAACTATCAAATGCTATTTTCTACAGTAATGTAGGCTATTTTCTTCTTGCAATAAAGATACGTTAAGGCTTTACATATTTAATATTTACACCTATCCCTTGTCAAGGGAACAACCTTTCAGGTGCTGGATTCTCCAGCTGGTCCTTCGAAGTTAAGGAGTATCTCAGAAGCTTTGTGCGATAAGAAAAATCTTTCTCCGAACCAGCAAAGTTCGCTAAGGCGAGCTCCTTATTCGTACAACTACATAGTTTTCACTGGTCGGGAAATATGGGAAACCTCGGAAAAATTGAGTCCCTTTGAAATTCACCGTAAAAACTTACTTTTTTTTAATTTGGCTAGAATAGTCTGTCGCAGTATTAATAACGATGACATAATTTTCACACCCCATCCTCCCCGGAAATCCCGGAAAATCAACATATATTTTTTTCATTTTATATCAATGATGTAATAATACTTATATATTTTATAAATTAAATTTCAGGTAATTTTTTACACGTTATATTATTATATTACTTATATTAATTATAATTATTATTTACTACTTTGACGCTCTATCTGTTTATACATGTGTATAGGTATATGTACAGTACGAGGACGGTAAACATATTTAGTTATGTTTTTGGATCTAAATATCTCCAAATATCACAGAGTATACCGTCCTCGTGTCCCTACATTGTATATGTATTCATGTGAATAGGATAGGAGAGAGGTCATTTATATAATAGAAAACCGTCAAAAAGGAGGGATGAGTAGCAGCTGCTACGCTCCACAATTTTGTCAAAATTTTCCCTAACTTCGTTCCTATTGGTCATAGAAGTTTTATTTTAAATGTCTTGTTTTTTTACCAGCTATCCAATGGTTGTACGTGCAAGTCTGTAGCTTGAAAAATATACAAGTTATTACAATTGTTTATAAGTAAAAACATTTCCCCTTTTCAAACGTTTATTTTGTAAATAATTTCAATGAAAACGCAATATGTATTTAACTTAAGTTTAAGTCTTAAAGAGTCCTATGAAATTTGCTAAATGTGTCTAGCATCATTAATAGAGCAAGTACAATAGTTTAAATATTTAGCATCAGGGATAAATAAATTAAATAACTTTTAAAATATTTGACCGATCGGCGGGAAATTTTGCACAAATTTTAAAAGCCGGTAATTCCTCGATGTTCTAATGTATTAATAACATTTTATTTTGTAAATACAAAATTAACAAAATTTATAAATTAGTGCGAAAAACTGCGTTTTTGCAAATATCTCCGTAAATTATTTATCAATTTTAATTAAAAAAACGGGAAAATAAAGATATTCTTGATATAAAAAAATGATATAAATATTGTTTATGTAAAATATAAGGGAAAAAACTTATAGACAAATAATCTATTTGTGACCATAAATTATTGTTTAAAAAAACCGCAGGGTAAAAGTATAAATACTTTTTCATCTATTCGTCATCTAGTAACCCCCACCTATGCCTTAAAAGCTTCAGATATCTGCGAAAAATTTTGCCGTGAAATCGATGATTTTTGCATAACTAGACTGGGCTAATTCATGTTTGGGTCTTGGGGCAATGTGAACTTTTGATCAGCATGATCAAAGCTACCTCTCTGCAAAGTTGCTGTAAATTTAACTGAAACAACTTTTTTATAAGAAAATTGCCGAGCTCCTGTATTATTTGAAAAAAAAATCGACCTTATTTTTTAATTACAAAAATCAACTTTGTAATTTGCAATAAATAAATATAATAATTCGTAAACTAATTAATATTTTAAGGGTATCGCAACCAACTAATTCCACTTACTTTATATCCTCTTCAGTGGGATTTTGAATGCCTCGTTCTCTATATTGATCTTTGATACATTCTGTAACATGCGCTTCTTGCATAGGTAAAAATGGTATGTAATGATCGATTAAATTACTTTTTACGACGTCCGAAAATTGAAAGCCGCCTAAAAAGGAAATATTTATAATAGTCAAGAGTATAATGTGCATGGATGCCTTGCATCTTTTAAAAGTTAGTTAGTAGAGTAAACTAATAATATATTAATATAAGGTTGAATGTTCGAATAATTAAACTTTGACGGTATACAAGGCAACTATCGAACACGGTGATTAATTTAATCTTGCCCAAGTACTTTCGATCAATAGATCATCTTCAGGGGCATCTGAAATAAGCCAAGAAACGTTTTTATAAAAAAGGAAAATTAATTCACTTGGATAAAAAACTCCAAGTTTATGGTTGAAAAAATTGTATATGTGATAAACGTTTATAGACTTACTTCGTCAGTTGTGGCCTATCCGACATGAGTAGAATGTCATAAATATAAATTTGGACATAACAATACAAAATACAATACACAAAGACAAACAAACACTTTAAAATTTTTGAAAAGGAGAAGCTACATGTTGTATAGAAGCCGGAGACAGAATGGGCTCCCGGTCTGACGGAAATATTGAGATGACATGTGACAAATGACAGCTTGTGAAGGGCAGTTATGTGATCTGCACCTTTCAAAATTCTATGAAACTAAGTATTGACCAAAGGTCCAACTGACACCACTATAGGAAATCAACTGATGAAATATAAAATTATATAGTATATTTTTTATGTAGATTGAATAATCCAAATCTCACACTCAAACTTATCTATAATAATTAGGATGTTCGTTTGAGAGCAATTGAAGTTGACATAAAGTATGAATGTAAGAAAACACTAAACAATATATTAGACAGTGGATGGTTGACTACAATAAAATGGTCCACCAACCGCTATCAGTACTGTAAAAAATGAAATTTTTTTTTTTGACCGGGAGCCCATTCTGTCTACGGCTTCTATACAACATGTAGCTTCTCCTTTTCAACAATTTTAAAGTGTTTGTTTGTCTTTGTGTATTGTATTTTGTATTGTCATGTCCAAATTTATATTTATGACATTCTACTCATGTCGGATAGGCCACAACTGACGAAGTAAGTCTATAAACGTTTATCACATATACAATTTTTTCAACCATAAACTTGGAGTTTTTTATCCAAGTGAATTAATTTTCCTTTTTTATAAAAACGTTTCTTGGCTTATTTCAGATGCCCCTGAAGATGATCTATTGATCGAAAGTACTTGGGCAAGATTAAATTAATCACCGTGTTCGATAGTTGCCTTGTATACCGTCAAAGTTTAATAATATATTAAGTACAAATATTATTCACTCTCAGGTGAATGTTAAGTAGCATCTCAATAATGTAATACAGGTCTTTAGGATATCAAAATATTTTCATCGCAGGAATTACATATATACAAATATAAAGCACAACAATAAAAAATGACAAATCTGTACTACAAAATTAGTTATGGTATATACAGATCATGCAAAATAAATGTTATAAAGTAATCTATTGACCTTTTAAATAAATGAACACTGACACATTTTCTATCTTCTTGAATGGACAAGACATACACACAAAGTTTTGCACAGAGCCACATAGCGGAATTACTCAACTTCGTAAATATGATTTTCCTATATTTTGACTTTTCTTATGGTAAACAACATTGACAGATTGAAAATTCATCGTTTGGTTTAGCAACAAATAAATTTTCGATGATTTTGTAAGATTTTAAAGTTGGCCTTGGTTTCATTAAGATAAGATTCTACTCTTTTTTGATTTTACATCAAGTTAATGATAACTTTTATACATACAAGACTAGAGCCTCAACTTACCTTTCTCATTAAATGCTCCTTTCATAACTAAAGTCTCAAAGTCGGATAGTTTCATGTTTTCTCGCTGTTTACCTGAGTTCCACAAATGTAAATAGTGCTGATTTATTATATTGGAACCGGTATTTGACAAGAATATGAATATTGTTTGAGTATAATCTACTCCTTCAACAAGTCCTTTATGATCTAGTATTGGTTTGATAGCATTTAGTAGATCTGTGGGCATCTTATCAACCTCATCAAAAATAAATAGCTGTCTATTACAAGATGACACATTTCCCTTTATCCAATGGTATAAATCCCTCTAAAACAGTGGTAATATTTGTCTTGTTGTTGTATTATTATATATATATTATTATTTACTAATGAGTAATCTGCCCTGTTAAGAATAGAAGGCGTATCTGCAATTTTTTTGAGTTATCTACATATATGTTAATAATGAAAGTCCTATCTGCTGTTTAAAAATAAGTTATTCCACTTTAAAATTTTGTCGGATCTGCATTTTTACAGATTATGTTAAGACAATTATTTGTCGAATCTCCATTTGTTTACATTTTTAGTCATATCTTCACAAGACGATTTGTAGTTACGACAAATTTGCTTAACAATTGTGTAGTTTCGACAAAATATTCTAACAACACGAAGATCTAACCTAATCATTCATAGTGTTCCCGCCTTTTTAGTTTCTTAACCTAAAAATTAAACGGTTGTAAGCGTTATTCGGCGTCTATTTTGTTAGATTCAGAGACGGAAGGAATTGAGGAACCGAAATTAAACAGAAACGGTTCAAATAAAGTGAAGATTATTAGTGATATAACTTTGAGAGCTGCAAATGTCGTTCCTGAAGAATCTGATTCCAAAGGTGAAGAAGAAGGTAAGGAAGACTGTCTCCCTTTTATTCAATAAATCTTCTTGATATAATATATCAAGAAGATATAATATATGTATCTGTTGAAAGGGCAGAAAAAGACAATTTAACTAAAACAGGGTAAATCCGTAAACGAAAGAAATTTAAAGATAAAAGCCTAGTAATGAAAAAAAAAAGAAAATTAACAGCCACAATTGCTAAGCACGGTGTAAAACTATCTTGTATCTCTTGCAAGAGAAGATGTCTCGAAAAAATTACAGAAACGAGACGAACAGAAATAAATGGAGATTTTGGAAATTGCAAAAAGACGAACAGAAAAATTTTATTTTTAATAAGGCATCTGAACAAGTAACCAAACGGAAAACTACAGCTAGTATTGTGTCTAGAAAGTCGAAAAGTTTTTTATATTTTCTTAAAGACAAAGGCGGATGAAAACAAAGTGTCTGCAAAATATTTCTTATGAGAACGCTGGGATATGAAAAGAAAATGAAATGAAATGAAAAGAATGATGAAAATGAGTTATTAGAGATGCCCTTACTAAAACAAATTCAAAAGTGACGTTGAACAGGAATAAACAAGGAAAGACGGGAAAAATTAAAATAGATCGAAATATTATTAAAGAACATATAGAATCTTTCAAACCCACAGAACCACACTACCGTCGGGAAGACGCACCAGAATTTTATTGAAACATTATCAAAATATCAAGTTTTCGTATTATTTATATCAAGAAGTTGTCGCAACTTTAAATATATAATTTGTAAAATTAGGACACGAAGAGTGCTGGTTGTGTGAATCATTTGACTTGCATTCAAAATTCACGTCTCACAAAAAGGATGCTTTGATGAATAATTGTGAGGAATGTAAAGTTGTTACGATATGAATTGGGAAAGAACAATTTTTGGGGTCCGGTCAGTAATTCTACGGCGAACATAGAAATAAAGATAAATCTTTGTAATTCTAATTATTGATTACTCCTGGTATTAGTCCACATGGATATTGGTGTGGCTTATTAATTTGAACGTATCTTATTGGGTAATACTGAAATGTAATTGGTCAAATTTTTCGGAAGTGCATACACTATAACCAAATCTGGCTTTGCCGTTAGCAGGTAAAAATTGCTTCTCATGTTTCAAAGGCGGCAAGCATTTAAATAAACACAATAACAGTGTCGTCGTGATAAACTTATTTTATTTTATTTTAAACTTATTATATAAATTATTTTATTTTTATAGTAAAATTGTAGTCTCATTTTTTAGTTCTCAAATTAATAAGCACATTACATTTCATTTGCATTATGTATGTATATACTTTTAATCATCAATTTTAAATTTCAATAAAAGTTAAGGAATTTTTAGGGTCCAGTCCCGAATAATTCAGAAATATAAACATTATTTGTAATTGATCACTAACGGTATTGTCCATATTGCAGCTGTGGTTTATTACTTTCTACGTATCTTATCGGGCACTACTGAAGTGTAATTAGTCAAATTCTTCGGAAGTTATTACGCTCAAACTTGATCGTTATCTGGTCAAAAATGCTTTCTCAGGTTTCTCATACTAAACGATATATTCAGTATCGTCGTGTACGACAGCAAGTTCACGTATATTTTTAATATTTTTGTGCAAACAGTAGTGTTGTGTTTTAGTTAAGTTTGAGTTAAGACAGTAGAAAATAAGTTGTAAATACATTAAAGATGGCTTTTTGGCGACCATTTGAATGTGATACCAACGAGAATACTAGCGGCAATCCAACGGACGATTTAGGTATGTAAATTCTTATTTAAAACTAGTTTAATAATTAGTTGTATAGGGATGCTCGGTCATAATATTCACCCTTAATCTACTTTTGTTAACAATTAAAAGTAAAAATATTTCTTTTAGATCCAACACCAATGAATTGGGAATTTGTAAATAAAGACTTACATATTCAAGCGCAAAGGATTATTCTAAATATATATTCCTGTTTAAGAGGCGAAAATAGTACACTTTCGGAAAATAATATTGTGTTAAGGATATGTGAACTTACCAAACTTGCGCGTACGACAGTTTTACGTGTTATTGCAGCTGGGGATGTAAGTGAACATTCTGTTAAACGTCGAAGAGTTGGACAAAACCTTAAAAAGATTGATAAGGCCACTAAAGACGTTATTTGTCGCTATGTGTACGAATTTTATCAGGACAACAAAGTTCCAACGTTGGAAATGCTTCAGGACAAGTTGAAAATATATCCCGATTATGCATATAAATCCCTTGATACATTGAGGCGTGTTTTAATAGAATGCGGATTTAGTTAAAAAATTAGATAAGAGAATGGTAATTATGGAATCTACAAGGATTGTGATACAGAGGCAACATTATTTACGTAAAATAAAGGAATATCGAGATGACAATAGAGACATTGTGTATCTTGATGAAACGTGGTTTGACACCCATGATGTAGTTCAATATGGCTGGATGGATGATAGCAAAAAGTGCTGCTTGAGTACTCCTTGTTCGAGAGGAAAAAGAATTATAATTCTACATGCTGGAACTAAGAGTGGGTTTGTACCTAATGCCTTGTTATTATCGGCCAAAAACATTAAACAGTCATCAGCTGATTATCATGAGGATATGACGGCTGAACTTTTCGAAAAATGGGCAACGGAACAGCTGTTACCGAATATTAAAACAAATTCAGTGATAGTAATGGATAATGCGTCATACCATTCTAGACTCTACACCAAAATTCCAAATACTAGCTCCAAGAAGGGAGATATCATAGAATTTATGGAGAACAAAGGCATGGCAACACCTAGTAAATGTACCAAAAAGGAATTGTTGCAATTAATTAAGCAACAAAATTTTCAAAAAGAATATGTAATAGATAAACTTTTTGAACGCCACGGGCATACGGTTTTACGGCTCCCTCCATATCATTGTGTTTTCAACCCAATTGAAATGATATGGGCCGATGTAAAAAAGAAATTGCGGAAAATGAATCAATCTCCCCAATTAAGTGACGTTGTTGTCCAAAATATAAGAACAGTGATCAAAGAACTTAACAAAACTGACATTTGGAAAAATTGTGTAGCGCATGTTCAAGTAAAAGAAAAAGAATATCCTACTTTACCACCAATTGAACCGGTAGTTATAAACACAAACGACGACTCAAGTTCTGGACACACGGATAGTGATAGTGTTTAATTGTTTGAAATATTTCTACAAAGACTTCCACAACTTGTCAAAAATATGTTCTGTGTATCGAAATAAATGTTATCTCTCCATTAATCTATAACCTAAGAAAACAATTCGACTGGAAGACGAATTGGCCGATTTCATGTAAGTATCTTTTAAAAATAAGCTCTTTAAACCGATGAAACTTACAGATCATATTCATGATTATATTTTACCAAAAAAAGGGATCAACTTTGTTTTGAGCGTAACTTGCTTACATTTAATGCTAGAAACTTTTTTAAAAATCAAAAATAAAGATTTCTTTAAACAATTAAAAAAAAAAGTAAAAAAACATTTTTTTGATTATTTCACGTTGAATATATTCGATATGGAATTTGACGAATAGGTAAGAATCTATTTTTCATTAGCTATAACTCTGCTTCTGCTGGGTATACAGACTTCATACATATACCATTGTTTTTACTTTTTATAAACTGTATTTTTGCTATGAACATTTTTCCATAAAATACTTACCTTTTGAGTTATTTGCGAGAAATCGTCCAAAAACGTGGTGTTTTTGTTGAAAAATGAATATATTCACTCGCAAATAACTCGAAAAGTATTGATTTAGTAAAAACCTCTATAGAACAAAGTTGCCTAGAATTAGTCAGTTTATCCACTTCCGGACTTATTTTGGATGTATATCTTTTCACCCCCGAGAAGGTGCGGTACCACCCCCAGGGCAAAAATACACATCGGCACAATATCACTTTTTTTCTTTGACACGTTAGCTATATGTGTATGCCAAATTTCATGTCAATCCAGTGGTTCTTTAAAATTTAGAGGTTTTTACAATATTTTACCGTTAGTGAATGGACTATGTGTATTAACTTTTAATCATCTTTGGTGTCAAGTTCATAAAGAAATGTGAATAATTAACAATATTATTACTGTTTAACAAAATATTAGACCTTAATTTAAAAATAAAAGTTTATTATTTAATTTCTATTGCGCCGTCTATGTTTTACAAAGGACGCCGGCACTTGAGTGTCCAATTTTGTTTTTATACTTGTCCAACTGACATCGTAGAAACTATACCAACTTTAGTGTACATCAAAATAAATACACTGCTGCCAGATCAGAATATCAAACTGACTCGTCTTCAAAAAGTAACTGGAACGATACATCAATGGTAGTTTCAGCGGATTTTCAAAATGTAATAAAATATTATATTAATTATAAATGTTTTATTTTGTTGTGATATTCTAGGTCATAATGTT